CATTACATGCTAACCTTCTCTTATTACTTTTCTTGCAGGAAATCCTGGCTGAGTAAAGTTGGAAGCCCAAGTTCTCGCATAGATCGAACAAACTTTTCTAATGAAAAGGAAATTTCCAAGCTTGATTTCTCAGGATTTAACACTAGATACTAATGGAGGAAAACATAGCTAAACACAAAACTGTGATGTTTCTGCTGCGTGATATTTCTGTGCCTCCGTAAAATTGCACAAGACCATTTTGATGCTTTCTATGCTAGACATAAGTATAAATGGTCTCTATTTACATGATAGAAGAATTCTTAGTTGCTGTGTAAGACATTACATAACATGAATGTCAATATCTAATACCTAAAATGCCAATATCTAATTTATTGTATCATGAAAGCTAGACAAAAGGTTAAAAGTATCACTGACTGTTTGTGCACTGTGAGATTTGTTATGCATAAACATATGTAACCTAACCTTTATGCCGTAAAGGATTCATATTTCAGATGCAGAATAATAATCAATTTATGTTCTGCTATTTGTGATTTCACCAAAATATTTAAATACGTTACACTTTAAACAGAACTGGAACATTGAATGATAAATTCTAACAGCTTTGTATTGTAAATCATATTGTTTGTAATAATTAGTTAAGATGTAGCAGTAATATAAAATAAATGTACATTGCTTCAGAAACTAAGATGAATCAGTTCTGATTTAAAACTTTCAACAGTGAACCAGATACTTCCTGGAGGAAGACAATGAAATACATGGCCTCTCACCTCTTTTTTTCTTGCTTACGTCAGCTTACATCCATACCGACTATAAAGGTTATTTCCGGTTATTTCCATCTTTTGCTTTTTTTGATGCTCTTACTGAAATTAACTGAAAAATTCTTTTTTTTTCCTTATGGATGCGTATTTGCTTCTCAGTTAAGAATATATGTCAGAAACTGATTCAACAAGATTCACCCACATACATCAAATCAGTCGCATGAATGGTCCTGCGAAACCTGACGCGCACGTGCTTAAAAATAACTATATAATATTAGCTAAATCTTTGCAATATTGGGGTCTAACTCTCATATGTACTACTCTTTTTACAGGCACCAAGGAATCTGTCAGTGCTGGAACTGAACTGTATCCTCAGTTCTAAACTAGTTTCCCTGTATCAGTATTAGTATGCATTGGAAGGCTTTGGTTAAATCTCTGTGGTATCCAAGCAGGCACCGGGGAGATCTGGCAGCACTCTTAAGTTAACCAAGATCGGTGTGATCATGCTATCATAACAGCAAGTCCAAGCTGTTAACCCTTAGAGAAGCGTATACTAGCTAAGGCTCAGTAATGCTGCAGTAATGTGGTCACATAGCCCTGGGGGGGCTCTGAGCATGAGCCACTGTCTGCCTGCACTGTATCCTCTAAAATGCCCATTCTGCAGATACTTACACTGGTATTTCCACTGTCTGTTCTGTACCTCTTCTGAGAGTGGACAGAGTTAACTTAGGCAACATCCTCAAATATACAGTTCTTTTTTTTTTTCAAAAGAGGACGTTTCATAATTTAAGCATTGCATATTTTCATATGTGCAGAGCAAGATGTGCACAGAAAGGTGTATTTCTACTGGCTGCTGGATTAATTTTCACTGGGAGTTTGTGCATAAAGCACTAAAGACTCCTTTCTAGAATTTGCAAGAGTTATTTATAAATTGTTATAGTTCAAAACACAGTTGACTTCTGTCATTATATAAAAGCATCCTTTGTTGAAGTTATTGTGAATAACCCTTGTTCAACTCAAATGATAAATGGCAAAGTTCAAGTGTAGCAGTAGCTCAATAGCTGTTACATCCTCTGTCTGAAAACTGTATCCTGCCGAACCTAAGTGGTTTACTGTTTGCTTGAAGTTACCTGGCAGAAGACACACTCTGTCAAAGACATTTCCAGCCAAGTTTTGTTGTTCCTGTTTTGAGCAAGAATGACAGAGAAAGGCAGAAAGCGGATGGAACATTAGATACACAGGAAGAGGAGCCAAAGATGAAAGTATTGTTTTGATAACATTCGCATGGGTGGAGCTGGCTGCTCACGAGAGCTCACTAACTTCACCCTGGCTCCACTGGAAATGCAAGGCTTGGGCAGGGGAAACCAGCCATTAAAAAAACTGCTCTTTTTTCTGATAGAATTTCCTTCCAGAGAAATTTTAGAAAGTTGAAAGATGAAGAAATCTGCATGCAAAAAAACAAATCTGTGCTGGAAAACCAAAAGTAATATTTTAAGTGATGTCATCAGTGCTACACTGAAGGTTTTCAGAATGCTTTTTTAAACTAAGGTATTTCAGAAGTTATTTATTTATTTTATTATTTCTAATAATTTATACTTATTATTTCTAATCTTAAGGTATTAAGCAAATCTAATTTCTGTAATCTGTGGCCTGTATACTGTAGGCCAGATTTCTTCTTCCGTCTTAGCATTGTGTTCTGTTACAAGCATTACAGTTGGTTTCTTCTGTATCTGTTTGGTAACTTTCAGCCTCTGCTTACTGGCTCAAAGCTAGTAAACAGAGGCTCTATTTGGTAAACCAGCCTCCGTGCTGGTTTTAATCAGATGAAAAGAAAGTCCTGATTCTGAAGTACACCTATAACCATTCTCTTTGTTTGCAAGTCAACAACAATGATGTTTTCTATTTTCAGCATCCGCTTCCCTCACACACTTGAGTGAGATGAGGCAAATACATGCAAGATCTTTAGTGAGAAGTTTAGCCCGTCTCTTATACTAAATGTTTTTTTTTCATTATTTAAAACTAAAATAAATGTACTTTATGTATTGTGCCATAACATGTCTTAACAGAATTTTCTAAGTGTTAAATATATTGCACATAATCTGTTTTGAATTCTTCAAGTAGATAAGATATTGCTGTCCAAGTAGGCACTGCAGATATGTGATGTTTCTGAGGAAAGAAAGGGAGAAAACATCACATTTTGTGCCTTCAAAGATTTGGGAAGTCTTATACCAGTTATACCACTGGAATCCACCCATGTGGAGTTTCCCGAAGTGAATGGAGTTCCAATGGGCGAAAGGATCTCTTCCCTTACCCTCCTTCATCTCAGTTGAAGTCTCAAGATGGTGATACTGGTAATAATAATAAATAATGTAAAATATTATGTACCTCCCCTGAATTTGGGGGTTAGTGAGGCCAAACACCCTGTGTTATCAAGCTGAGGGACTAATACTTGATATACCAAGTGGTGCTGGCATCCTGATGGATAGCCACAGGGAAATGCCTTTATCCAAGTGGTCCGTGACATTTAGGCCCTTTAAAGTGCATTGAAATCAAACTTTAATACATCATCTGTGTTCCTGCTGTCATCACATAGGCATGTTTTATTCATGCAGATGCCTGCCGTACAACTGGGATCCTGTATTCGTCCAGGCATGTAGCCAGCTTGAGAAGTAACTTGTTTTATGCACAGGGAAACGTTCAATTTGTGCATAGTGGCACCTGTCTTACTTGTGGATAAATACCAACATGTAGGTTTTTTGCCCAGGTGGACAACAGTAGCAAGCAAATAATTCTCTATTTCTTTGGGGGCATGCTGCACACAGAGTGGAGGCTTTTACTGATTGCGAAAAAGAAAATAGATGGAAGTTTGTACGTAGCTAACATGAGACGGTGTTGTCAAACGCATGTTAAAAAGTAATATAAAAGACAGAGTGTGTTATTGTTGCTGTCCTGAAAAGGCTATTATAAGAGAACAGACGCCAGTTTGTTTTTCATAACTTGGATGGCTTTTTCCAAGATAGATATTCCAAGACTGTTCAAAGTAACTACTGTTCCCTATCTGAAAGATCCTTCAGATCTAGGCAGGATGCAGTCCTGCAGTCAGAGCAGGTCAAGGCTTAATGGTGAGCCTGTGGCATGGCAGGAGATAGTGGCAACTTTTCCTGTCAGCTTCCTGTGGAGGCTAGCGGGGCTGGCGTATGTGCTATTGAGTTCAGGGGTTCCAATGTTGGAGGAAGAGCTTATCGGAGGGCTTGGAAGAGTCTGGGTAAGACACCTTCACGTTTGGGAAGATTTGTGCCCTCTGTAGAATTTAATTGCTTGGAAATATTTTTCCATGCTGTAAATCACATGTTGCTATGTTGCCCTCTGCAGCATTAAATGTTGAAAAGTTGATCGGAAAACTCTATTATGTCAATTAATCAGCACTTCCAGATAATGAAGTGTTGTCATGCATTGCATGTATAGCACTATTCTTCTCATTTATTTAATCACTAGATTGCGTTAAAGTGTCTTGGTTCCAAAATCATCCAATTTGTGGAAATACAGTATATGCAGGACATCAGAGCAGTATCTCCAAATTTAAATAAAACAACACGGATCTTGAGGAGACAATTCCAATGATAAGATAGAAAAAAGCAAGAACAGTTGACTAATTAGACATCAAGACTAAATTGACACCGTTTTCCTTTTCTACTACATACTAATATCACCCAGCTATAACTGTAAATGCCATTTTTTATTTTGGTTTATTTTTTACAAATAAGATCCCACAGGAAGAGGTATAGGCGGCTAGGTCCACGGTTGCTGTTGGTGGAAATAATTTCCATAAAGCCTGGTTATGCCTGAAGAGCTGAACAACTTTCACACTAGTCTCTGAGAGTAAGTTGAGAGTAAGTTCTTTGAATCTTCTCTTATGTTTACATAGTATGGTGTTATGTTGTTCTACATCACATGGAGAGGATGTTTAGAGCGCAGACAGGTTCTGGATTACAGAGCCTGTATACAGAGAGGCATATGTGCACACACACAACTTTTCAGTAATTAATATATGCTTCTCCGTATGTATCAGGAGTAGGAGAGACAATCTTATGCGTGTTTACTTTCAGAACTTACAAAGCGCTCAGATGCAATGGCACTGAGGGTGCTATAAACAAGCATGGTATGGTAGGGGTAGAATCTCTGAAAGCGTTCTTTAACTCTGCTCCCCATGTCTGAATAAGAGTTCTTCTTCAGTGGGAGCAGAAAAAACAGTATGCAGTGCTTTTGAGAATTGCATCTGTTGAAAACCTCACTTCTCATGAGTGTTAGAAACTGAATTTTGAGGATTTTAAAGCTGCCAGACAGTTTAAGGTGGAAGTCAGTTCCATCCTATTCTTGCAGGCAGCTGTGGGAAATTCTGCTTAGAGCAAAGTAGAGAGCAAAGAGGCATACCACTTTACCTGGTATTAATTCTTATCGAAACAAGGTCTGAAGCTTCTGAAGCATGAGGAACAACTAGAAGTCCAGTCGCTGTCTTTGTGACTGAGGGATTCTCAGCACATTTGAAAATCAGGTAAAAGTCAATATAGTTATCATTTTCTGAGTGTGTAGAACCATCCAGCTTAAAAGGATTGAGACTCCTTAAAGTCTGCCCCCTCTATTTTCAACCCATTTGTGAATTCTGGACAATATTTATGTTCTTGAAGGAAAATTCTGTGCCTGGCATTTTTTGCATTCTTCTATAATTTAAGAATGTTCACATCATTAAACCTTAACACCTGGCACGTTAATTAGAATTGGAGCGTAACTTCTAAATGGCCGGAAATTTTCAAAAAATTACAGTTTTGAGATGTGAAAAGATATGTGAAAAACTACATATGTCATCTTAGGGAAGATAAAGTAGTCAGTGAAAATACCAACCAGTCATGTTATTTATACTTATACAATG